GACGAAGTTTCAGGGACTGGAATTACCATCCCACTTGAGATAACCAAAAACTCATAAAATGTAAGAAACAACTTTTTTTTTTTTAAGTCACTGGGCAGCAGGCAACAAGAAACAGGACCCCTGAGGGACAGGAAGCTTCCCAGCTGCTGTACAAGAAGAAGAAATCAGCAGTGGCCAGCAGACTCCCTGAGCTGGGGAGCAGATCTGGGAGTCTGGGGTCACCGAGGCAGCTAAGGTGTACAACACAGAGCCCTGAACATGAAATTGCAGCATGGAGAGCGAATTCCAGAGACTGCAGAGGGCCCGTTGGAATAGTCAGTGCAGTGGTGATGGGCACATGCTTGTGAGGCCAGGACAGAGTCACGTGGTAGCGTAAGAAGGAGCAGCACCTGGAGCTCACACAGCTAGACTAGAGGACTCTGTGTGGCTCTCACGCTGCACAGCACCTCTTCATAGCAACACGCAAAACCATCAGACTGTTTCTGCATAACTGCATCCCAGAATAAAGCTGAAGAATATTTGTAGGAAGACAAAAATATCTGGCACCCAATGAGGTAAAATTGATAGTGTCGAGCATCCAATCAAAGATTACCATTGCTACAAAGAGGCAGGAGGATATGAAACACTGTATGCTGAAAAGGAATCGATGAAAACCTCCCTAAAGCAGACCCAGATGTTAAAATTGGCAGATGAGGATATGGAAACAGTTAATATAATTATATTTAAAGAATCTAAATACTACCATGTATGTTCTGTGACCACAACAGGATTAAATTAGAAATCAATGACAGGGGCACCTGGGTGGCTCAGTGGGTTAGGCCACTGCCTTTGGCTCAGGTCATGATCTCAGGGTCCTGGGATCCAGTCCCACATCGGGCTCTCTGCTCAGCAGGGAGCCTGCTTCCCTTTCTCCCTCTCCGCCTACTTGTGATCTGTCTCTGTCAAATAAATAAATAAAATCTTTAAAAAAAAAAAAAAAAAGCTTTAGAAATCAATGACAGATGATCTCTGAAAAATCCCAAATATTTGAAAACTAATTAACATGACTCTTAATCACTCATGGGTCAAAGAAAAAACTCAAAAAGGGAATCGCAAAGTATTTTGAACAAAATGTAAATTAAAACACAACATAAAATGTTTGCTGCTATAAAATCAGTACTTGGAGGAGAACCTATAGCAGCACATTGCTGTATTAGAAAAGAAGAAAGACCACGGGTGAATGACCTCACTTCCACCTTAAGAAACTAGAAAAAAAAAGAGAGTAAAAATTGAACATAGAGTGAGCAGAAGAAAATAAATCACAAAGGTCAGAGCAGAAAGCAATGAAATGAAGAAAAAATAATAAAGCAAAATCAATTAAACCAACAGCTCACTCTTTCACAAGACTAATAGTGGTGATCAAACCTCTAGCCAGGCTTATTGGGAAAAAGAAAAAAGACGATCTGCCAAGATCAGGAAGGAGGGATATAATATCACTACAGATCCTACATAGCAAAAAGGATAATGAGGCAACATTATGAACAGCTTTATGCAATAGACAAATCCTTTGAAAGATACAAGCTATCAAAACTCACTCAAAAGGAAATAGATAATCCAAGTAGCCCCGTACCTATTAAAGAAATTTAATTACAAGTCAGAAACCTTCCACCACCCACACAGACACAAACAAAACCCTGCCACCAAGCCCAGGAGACTTCACTGGTGAGTTCTACCAAACATGTAACATTCACCAAGCAGCACGTCTGAACTTGTAGAAATTTTGCTCAGAATTTCCTGAAGAGGAGAGATGACTCCACACCTCATTCTACAAAAAAAATGTTACCCTGATACCAAAACCAGACAAAGATCACAAGGAAAGAAAACTATAGAGCAGTAGTCCTCATGAACATAGATGCAAAAAAAACAAATTGAAATATAGCAAATCAAATCCAACTACATGTAACAAGAGTAACATCATGTTCAAGTGGGAATGCAAGGTTGGGTTGATACAAACAACAAAAAAAAAGAGAAGAACCCTGATAATCTCAATAGACACATTAAAAGAATTTGGTAATTCAACATCCATTTCTGATAAAAACGTCTATAAAGTAGGAAAAGAAATAACTGATAAAAGGCATCGATGGAAAACCCACAGTCCACATCATAGACGATGATGGAAGAGAGAATACATCTCCCTGGAATCAGAAACAAAGCAAGAATATCTGCATTCTGTTCAGCGTTAGGTGATGCTGGAGGTGCTAACATTGTAATCAGGCAAGGGAGGGAGGGAAGGAAGGAAGGAAGAGAGGAAGGAATGCATCCCTATTGCATAGACCATGCGATGGTCAATGTTAGAAAACCCAGTGGGATATATGGACAGATTCTAAGTTTATTAAGTACATCTGGCAATGTTATAGGATATAGCAGCATTACAAATACAGCTGTATTTCTAAGTATTAGCAGTGAACAATCATAAACTAGATTTTTTAAAATAATAATTTTCAAGAACATCAAAAGTATTAATTCTTAGGGATGAATTCGACTAAAGATGTACACAACCACAAAGCATTGCTGAGAATTTCAGGAAGACCTAAATGGATAGACGATAACTCCTATTTGAAAACTCAATATGGCAATGCTCCCCAAAATGAACTGTAAATTCAGTGTAGCCCCAGTCAGTATCCCAGTAGGCTCTTTTTAGAAATTGACAGGCTGTGTCTAAAATTGAGATAGAAATGCAAAGACCTAGAATAGTCAAAACTGCTTTGAAAAAATTCAAGTCGGGGGACTATCACTTCTTTATTTCAATGCTTATAACAATGCCAAAGTAATTAACACAATCTGGTAATGACATCAGAAAGGCCAATGGAAAATAATAGAGAGCCCACAAATAGACCCACTGATTTTTGACAAAGGTATAGAGACAATTCAGTGGAGAAAGGACAGTTTTTTTTTTTTTTCCCAAAACTGTCATAGCAACCATAGCTGTCATTCTTATGCTTAATAATTAACTTTGATCCACACCTCACACCATGTAACTCAGAATTAATTATATATTTAAATCTGAAACCAAAAACTAAAATTTCTAGTGAAAATGTATGAGAAAATCTTTGTGACTTTGGCTTAGGCAAAAATGTCTTGAATTTGAAACCAAAAGCGCAGTCCATCAAAGGGCAAATTGACAAATTGGATTCCCTCAAAATTAAAGCCCTCTGCCCTTCAAAAGAACTTACCATTAAGAAAATGAAAATGCAAGCCTCGTACTATGACTACATGTTGGCAACACATTTATTGGATATGGGATATATATTTAGAATTCATAGAGAAACTGTAAGAAAGCAAACAGTCAATAAATGGGCAAGACATTTGAATAAACCCTTGAAGAAGATACATAGATGTAAAGAAGCATATGAAAAGATGTTCCTTATTTTGATTATTGAAATGCAAGTCAAAGCCACAGGGTTCCCACTACATACCTACTAAAATGGCTACAATTTTAGTAGAAAATGACAGTACAGAATATCGACGAGATGGAGAGCAACTGGAACTCTCAAGACCTGTTAGCGGGAATGTAAATGGCACCCCTACTTCAAATGTAATTGGCACTTCCTTCAAGTTACAGCTGTAGCTACCACGTGATCCAGCCATCCTGCCCTGGGTGTTTACCCTAGAGAAATGAAACAAACCTAAATTTATAATCTTGTATTCACATGCAATATACATAGCAGTTTTATTTGTAATTTCCTCAAACTGGAAACTGTTGAACCTTAGTCTTTGTTTTTTTTTTTTTTTGTTTTTTTTTTTAAGACTGATTGATTTATTTGAGAGAGAGAGCACGCCCTTGAGTTGGGGGAGGGGCGGGGGAAAAGGAGAATCTTAAGCAGACTCCGGGCTGAGCACAGAACCTGATGTGGGGCTCGATCTCACAACCCTGGGATCATAACCTGAGCCAAAATCAAGCATCAAATACTTAACCAACTGAGCCACCTGGGTGCCCCTAATTTTAGCCTTTAAAGGCACTGAAATAACTCCTTCGAAATTCTACAAATCTGGCTTTCTGCAGTTGGACAGGAGGATTCTGGGTGAAGCCAAGAGTGAAAGTTGGAACTTACGCATCCAGGGGAATGGGGTCATGCCTGTGCATTCACTCATTCATGCCACAAATACTGAGCACTCAGTAAGGTCTGTGCCCAGAGGAGGGAGTGAGAATCCCATGGTTCCTCCTCAGTGAGCCAGTCTGCAGCAGTGAGGGTGCAGGGAGTCTGAGACATGGCAGCAGACAGGGGTCACTGACAGAATGAGGGGTGACTGCATCAGCCCTGAGAAGGACTTGGGTCAGGAGAGCCTCTCCCTAGAGATAGTATGTACACCAATTCTCGAAGGGCTCATAGCTTCCAGCTGGAAAGATGCATCCCCAACAGAGAAACCCCACATGCAAAGCCTGTCCAGAGGAGTGAAAGACCCCAGCAGATCCCAGAATCTGGGAGGGCTGGGGGCAGCTGCAGGCTCTAGCAGAATGGTGGAGACCTGGGGATGTGCTACAGCTCTCCAGCGGGTTCATACTTTCTTCCTTGAAAAAGAACTATCGGGGTGCTTGGGTGGACCAGTGGGTTAAGTGTCTACCTTCTGCTCAGGTCATGATCCTGGAGTTCCAGGATTGAGTCCCTCATTGGGCTCCATGCTCAGCAGGGAGTCTGCTTCTCCCTCTGACCTTCTCCCATCTCATGTTCTCTCTCTCTCTCTCTCTCTTCCTCTCCCTCTCTGTTATATAAATAAAATCTTAAAAAAAAAAAAACTGGCTGGAGCAAGTCACTGTAAGTCATTAAGCATGTTTCTGTTCCAGAAATGTTCTCCTTGGAGCTATAAGTAGAATGGGTATTGATGTAGAAACTTGTGCTGGAAGAGTACTCGCAAGGATGTTCTTGCCCTCAGCTTCTTAGCACCCAGATCTCCACGCCCTGGGCCAAGCCCTTTGGCTCATCCAGGTCCCCTGAGTAACTGTGGCTCTCTTTCCACTGTAGGTGCCCTTGCTCGTATAAATCATTGAGAAGATCAGATCATGGCAGAAACCCACCTGTGAGCCATCCATAGTCACTGCTCGAGGACGCCGCGTGGCAGAGGGCGTTGGGATTTGGTGAACTTTCTTGTCTACAGGCCAAACTCACACAATTGATTTTCAGTCCTGCAAAATGGTTCCCAGGGAGGGCGAGGTGCTGCTCAGCTGTGTGGCGTGTGTGCCAAGGAAACACGTTTGCCTCTGAATATTTCAAGTTGCCAACAAACTATTCTTGTTGGCAGGTTAATGGGGTTATAAATGCTGGAGCCCAGCGCTACCCTTAATTATGGTGACCTTAGACTGATTCTGGAACTTTGAGATTTTACCAAATAGAGATGGTAAAGACCACGTAGCTGTTTGAAATCTTTTGAATTCCTAGGAAATATGTTTAAACCAATTGAAACAATCTGAATGTAATACACTCTGTGATGTTCTCGGTAGCAAGAAAGGAGCAGAAGATGACTTCATTGAGTAAAGAAATCACTGGATTTTTAATCTCATAAATGTGGGGTTACAACCTCACAGAGGGTCTCAGACCATCATCCGACCAACTAAGCTTTTAAAAAATCAGCAGTTATCATCCAGAATAAAATCACACTTGATGTCTGAACAGGTGTTTCTGATTCTCCAACGGTGGCAGTGACAGAGGTCAGAAAGGCATTGGTGCAGATGGTCCGTGCCCCACTTTGCAGGCGTCCCCAGCAGGCTGGGAAGTAGAATGAGCGCCCCCCCCCCCAAACCCTGGGAGGGCTATATATGGAGCCTGGTGACTGCCCTGAGAACCTTCTGAAATCCTCCATGGGACCAAGAGCAGGGACACTGGGTGTCTTGCATGTCACCACGATTGGATCAAAACTGTGCTGGTATTTCATGGTTTGGGTTCAGTCTGAGCACCTTTGCCCAATCGATCAGTAGCACCCCTGTATCATGTGGGAGGCTTTTCTTAGCACCCAGAATTCTGCCCTCAGTATTTATAATGTTTAGACACAGCGCTAGTTTTTCACATCTCTCTCTAAAGCCTTTTGTTATGTTGAAAAGAGCTCTCTAAGAGATGAATAGAAATCAAGAGGAGTTCATGAAATAAAATCCCTATCTTAATGGAACAACAAATATAGTGAGATCATTTTAATATTTCACAACTGTTTCAGATCAAGGTGTCCCGTAGATTGGAAACTTTTGCTCCACATTGTCTGAAGACAATCGCTCACCTTCCCGGTGTGACAAGAGCATCAGCCTGTCTCTCTTAAGCCACGCTGTCTCTCTGTGTCTTTTAGTGCCACAAATAAAAAAAAAAAGAAAAGAAAGAAATTGTGGCCATTGTGTGAATTTCATGACTTTATGCCTTTATCCCAGCGTAGAAAGGAGAGATATAGTAATTCGATGAATAAATATTCTTGACTGCCTGCTACACTCCTCTAGGCAACAGAAAGGAAAACAGACAAGATTCCCTGTCCTCATGGAGTTTAGTTTACAGGGGAGAAGACAGATGATGAGCAACAAAGGTAAGCAAAATATTGAATATATTTAGAAGTCAGTAGTGTGTAGGAGAAGATCAAGAAAAGGGATGTAGTGTGAAATAAGGTGATGAAGAAAGTTCTCCATGATACAGTGATGTTTGAGTAAAACTCGGAAGAAAAAAGAGAGAGCGGACCATGAGTGGATGTGTAACTGGCTAGGGAAAGAGCAAGTGCAAAGGCCCTGTGGCAGGATCTGCTCAGTGTGTTGGAGGAACTAGGAGGCCAGTGTGAAGCATGGGTGGTCACACAAAAATATGGAGTTTCCCAACCTCTGACCCGTTGGTCTTTGCATACAATTCAGTGCCACGTTTCCCAGAGCTACCTTGCTCCCCAGCCAGAGAAAGAGGGGAGCACACGTGGTGGGCCCAGAAGTGGGCCTCCAGGATGAGAAAGGTTGTCCAGTTGAGTGCACCCCATCCCTGATTTCTTTTGCTCCTGAGGGAAGGGATCAACTTTATACTAAATTTACTCTTTGTAAATTTAGTATACATACCTAGTATAAATTTAGTATAAGTTGCCACTGTGTTATGTCCTGCCTCTCCAGCTGTTGCTCAAGCCTTGGGTTTTGAGCTGTGGAACAGGGACCAATACAGTCTTCTGGGTCATGATACAATCTTTTTGCAGTATTTTCACAGCTGTTCTTGGTTGTTCCCACTAAACCTGAGTGGTGGAGAGATGCCATTTTCCAGATGAGGAAACAGGTCCAATAAGACGGACCAGCTATCAGAACAACTCAGTGACATGCCTCTCATTCTCGGCTCCTATTCCTCCCGCATTGAATCTAAACTCCTCAGGCTGGAACGCTCCCCATGGCCCATGTTCCCTCCCTCCACCTGTTCCCCACATCACTATGGAACAAGCATCAGGTTGCAGGATGAAAGCATGTGGCACTCGCTCATCCCTCCTGCGATCCCCCTGCAAGAAATGCACTCACCATCCACTACCCGTCAGCAGGCAACCCAACCTTGCCCTCAAGACCCTGCTCCTGACGTGTATTTGCTATCATCAAGCCCTCCTCCCTGCTCCTCTGCAAGCTCTTCTGCCTGTTAGCTCTGCCTTTCCTACATGGTGCTGCTCACCACTGCCTCATCCCTGCCTTTCTGACCACAGCAAGGAGAGCAGGCAGCAGGTCTAAAAAGTCTTTCCAGGTCCACAGGAATTGCCCATGTGCTCAAGGAGAACACCTGATTTATACCTGTTAGCCCTGCATCAATGCAGATAGCTACCTCCTCATGTCCTAATGTCTCCATTTAAATGCTAGATTCCATGGTCTTCTGTTGTCCGGTCCCGACTAGGTAGTGAGTAGTGCTCAATGACAGAACGAGTGTCGCGAGGAGTGGGATTGGAGCCCCAACTTTGTTCCATCAGAATTTTTCACCATTCCTTTCTGCCTCTGTCATAAAGTGTACCCCAAAATGAGCCTATATAGATCCTTCTGGGCCTTCCACAGCTGGGTTTCCGCTGCCCATATCTTCCAACATGACTCTCCTTGGGCCTCCAGCCACATAGAAACATCAGAGCTGCCCCACCTCCAGATTTGGGTTTTCCCCACTTCCTGTGGCCCTCAGGTGTTTAAGCCTGTGGCACCTACTTCATGGCATCTCTTATCAGCTTTCAAGAATTCTAGCTTCTTAAAAGTTTAGCTTCTTGGGGCACCTGGCGGGGCTGAGTCACTTGAGTGTCCAACTCTTGATTTCGGCTTCAGTCATGATCTGAGTCGTGAGATCTACCCCGTGTTGGGCTCCACACTGGGTGCGGGTTTCTTATGTGTTGTCTTGGCTCGAGCTGCTATAACAGAATACCTAGGCTGGGCATTGAACAGCACTGACTTTTCCCAGTTCTAGAGGCTGGAAGTCCAAGATCAAGGTGCTCGCAGATCACATGGTAAGGGGTGGCTTCTTGCTGTGTCCTCATGTGGCAGAGAGAGAGAGAGAGCACCTCTCTTATAAGGTCACTAATCCCATTATGGGACTCTGCATCCGTGACCTGATTATCCAACTGCCCAACACCAGAACTACTTGCCAAAGCCCACCTCCCAACACCATGACATGGGTGATTAGGGCTTCAACATTTAAATTCAAGGCGACACAAATGTTCGGTCCTTAGCGCATTTTAACCTCCTTCTCACAGTGAGCAGAGTTAGATAAACAGGAGGCTTCATGGACCAGGAGCTCCAGGAAGGGAAGACAGTAGGGCATGATGCCCAAGTCTCCTGTGGGGGTCCCACATCAGCTCCACCCTTACCAGAGGCCATGGCCAGGAGCCTACCCTAAGCACACAGACACACCAGCTCATGTAAAAAGTGACCCAGTAGAGTTCATAAAGCTGACCAAATTCACCACCATTCCTCATGGGGTGGAGGTGTGGAGGGCAGGGAGCAGGAGGGGTGAGGGGGTCTGGGAAGGGAGCAACACTGGAAGTGTCCAGAAGCGTAAGCACCTGGCAGGGCCACTGAGGAGCATGCTCAGAGGGAGCCCCAGTGAATTCCTCACTGGGTTATTTCCACACCCGAGACATCGCTATGATTGAGACCATTGCCTCCCATCCCTGTGATTTCCTCGGAGATGCCAAGGTGCTCAAAGCCAAGGGATCAAGATGCAGTTAGGTTGGCACCTGCTCATGAGGGGTTTAGTCAAGTTCCTGATCAGGCAGAGGCTAGGTAAGGGCAGGTGGCCATAGCTCACCCACAGCCCATTGGAGCCAGTCCCTGTGTAAATGGAAGTAAATGCATTAGAAGTTGCTGGGCTCCCAGACGCTGGGCCTTCAGGTGGGTGTGGACTCCAAGGAGTAGGAGGCAAGGTACGAATGTAGGCATCCACACCTGATTCTCCCACCCTCCTCCTCAGCGTAGGCTCCCAAGATGGGGCCAGGGTGTTGGGTCCCTCCTGCCTGCATACACCCTGGGACTCCTCCCGCAACGTCCACATGCCACCACACCCTCCATCAGGCCACCCCAAATACTGTGTTGCAGTCCAGCCCTGATGGAGACCCACTCAGAGAGGCCAAGGTGAAACCACAGCTCTGACTGATACCTTCTCAGAACCTGCTATGGTGTAGCTGCTGCTACTGCTCCACCTGGCCACCCGCCTGGCCCCCACTTTCCCCACCCTCCAGACACTGGCTTGCTTGTACATCCCCAAACATACTACATGGGTTCACGCTTCCGTGCTGGGCACAAAAACTTCTATTCATCCTGCAAAACCCAGCCGCCTCCCACAGGAAACCTTCCCCAACCACCGCACAGTCCTGCAGAGAGAGGCAAACACTGCCCAGATCTCGCAGCAGTGCCTCTTGCTGCTGTGGTGTCTGCACATGAATCCACGGGCCTCTGTGGCGGACAGGAGCCACATCAAACTCACTTAGGGTCTGCAGGCCTGGGAACGGGATGCTGTTGCCACGGGCATCAAACTGCAGCAGATCTGCCTCCACGTGGGAGACCAGGGTAAGCAGTGAGCCCAGCACATCAGCGTGCCCTTCTGACCCAGGTCTGGGTGGAGGCTGCATTTCTGGACCTGATCTGCCGGCCTGTAGCCCTCCCTCTGCTCAGATCAGCCCTGATGTGTTAAAGCCGAGCATGCCGGGTAAGCAGTTCCAGGACTTGCTTAGTCGATGGCTCCTGAGCCAATGCCCAATTGTGGGGAGGAGGAAAGCCTTCTCAGGAGACAGCTCAGAGCTCAGGTTGTCTCCCGGCTGCAGTGAAGGAGCAGCTGGGGAGGGAGAACAGAATTACCGGCAGGTCTACAGGCAAACCACACAGCAGGCCGGGCCCAGAGCTGGGGGAGAGGAGCAGGCCAGCATGGAGACAGAATCTGGGAGACTCGGGACTCAGCCAAGGTGGGCTCAGAACCGACTGGGAGTGAGCAGGGGGACAAGCAGCTCAGAGCCTGTGTAAGCCGTAGGGCTGTGGGGGTGGTCCCCACATCGCCTCTTGCCACAAGCACAGGGACATGCCATGGAGGACAATCGCAGGTGACCAGGAAAGGTCAGAGTTCTCGTCCCAGATGGTGAGTATCCTTTAGCACTTGGGCCCAGCTCCACCTGCCGCCCTGCAGTAGGGACAAGTTGCACTGACCACCCAAAACCTCCATGAGGCTGCCTGAGGTCATGTATCAGAGCCAGCAAAATGGTCCAAAGCTCAGTGTCTGTGCTGGGAGCACTTGTTTTAAAAGTGGGATAAGATTCCTCGGGGGCCAGGCAGCATCTTCGTCCACACAGTGCAGGAGCTGCCTCCTTCCTCCTCTGATGGTCTTGCACCACGATTCCTCTCTTCCTTCTGCAAAGCAGAGCCACATCAGCAGCCGAGCTCAACAGCCCAAGGTGCCTGGGGCTTCCCAAAAGCTCGCAGGATTCAGCCCAGCAGAGTTCCTAGACAACTCCCGCCCCAGCACCAGACTCTCAAGAAAATCTGCTTTACCAGGGCACCTGGGTGTCTCAGTTAAGCGCCTGCCTTAGGCTCAGGTCATGATCCCAGGGTCCTGGGATGGAGCCCCGCATCGGGCTTCCTGCTCAGCAGGAAGCCTGCTTCTCCCTCTCCCACTCCCCCTGCTTGTGCTCCCTCTCCTCCTGTCTCTCTCTCTGTCAAATAAATAAATAAAATCCTAAAAAAAAAAAAAAAATCTGCTTTACCCATTTGACAGCCAAAGAGCAGCCTCAGGGACATCTAGCAACTCGTCGAGACTCATGAGGCTATTGTGGGCACAGCTGGGGTCGCCCTCACTGTGGTAAACCCCTACATCTGGCCCTCTCCCCATTGTCCCCCAGCAGATGATACAGTCTGG